ATCCCAAAGTAGATTTAATTCCTGGCAAAATTTCAGTGATAGACATGGATATGTACAACGAATTTATTTTAAAGTAAGTCAAGAAAGTAAAAGAGACATACATAAGGAAAACTTGTATAAAAACTAAAACTGAGTTCCTCTTTTCAGATATAACTTTAATACTTATTTACTAGGCTAAAAGTAAATAAAAACAATTGATTATTAAAATAAAAAAATTATTGGGCTAAAAGTAAATAGACTCTATTGTTCAGAACTAGAACACATTACATAAAGCAATATCTAGTACTTGATAATGGTGATACCATTAATCAATGAGAAAATGAAGGTTAATCAAGCAGTGTTGTCTGGTTGATGAGTGAGCCATTTGAAAAAAACCTAAAGCCTCATTTCACTTAATAAAAAAATAAATCTTAGACAAATTTAGGACAGAAGGAAGAAAACATGAAAAATCATCAGCAATTACTTTAAAAAATAAAATTTATCAAATGTTTGAAGCACATTAAAAATAATTGGATTTATTCATTTTAATCAGGAAACATGCAAAACCTCGATTCAATATTAGTAGTAGAAACATAAAATAAGACAGCACTGGGATGTGATTTTTGTTGATCTAAGTAGTAAGTAATAAGTATTTCTCTAACTGTTAATACTGCAGATGTGGGGAGTCTTTGTGTTCAGATAATGGGACTGACACTACTTTCATCATCTTGAATTTTTTTGTTTTAGAAATGTCTTTAATGATGATTTTTACTTTCATAATTGAAAAAATAAAATGACAACACACATTTATAGTAATTAAGAAAAAGGCCTTCTCCAATTTAGTGTGAATTTATAATCCTGTACACTGGACCAGCAGGCATCAGACCCTCCACTTGCTGTTGGTGAAGAGTCTGCCTGAGAGCAGTAGAAGCTCTTAGTGCAGAGGGTGATTTCCGTCCATCAGCATCTGCTGAGGCAGCAGACTAGAGGAATGCCTATCAGCTTTTGCTTAATCGCAAAATAGGTGCTATTAAAAAGCCATAAAGATAAAATTTGGCATTATTTTTTATAGAAATGAAACCATACCAGTGATCTGGTGTGTGCTAAGTGCTTCAGAAAATGTTATCAACTATTTCTCTTTAAAAAGAGAAGTACAGAGAGGCATATGAGTGTTTCAATATACTTTTAAAGGCCTTTATTGGGGTGATTCTTGATAACTCACTGAAATCTATGTAAATGGGTGGATGGAATGATAAAAGTTCAGCTCAATGTGTTGCTGGAACAAAAGGCCAAGAAACTCAACACATGAGTTAGGGGACACAGAAAACTCCCCATGCTACCTCACTCCTGGGGTTTGTAGCCATGAAGGAGTTTACTTCTGACCTTCCAGCTTATCGAAAACATGTAAGAAATAAAATAAATATCAGGATCACCCTGATGGTGGTGCAGGGATTAAAGTCTCAGCACTATCAGGCTATCACCAGCCACAGCAGTGGCGTGAGTTTGATCCCAGGCCAGGGTGATGACCACATGGGGTAGCAGACCTCTCCTGTCTTGCCTGCTGCTCCCCTCAGTGTATTACAGTAGCTCTACCTGCTCTTCTCCCCACTCTTTCTCTGGTGAATCCACTAACCCCCTGCCCCCTGCACCACTGGCCTATACCCCAGTTCTTGTATGCATAAATAACTTTTTAAAAATCTTTAAGAAATAAAAGTCTTTCCTTTACGTTTGTTCAAAAAATTGATGAGCCAGCTATACTGCTTAAATCTCTACTTTCACACAACATATTTAGAGACCTTTTTCTTGTAACGATGTGTTGTGGAATGTATGGCCATGGGAATCGGACCACTCTAATCCTGATTATAACTGAGGAGTCAAGTGTAGTGGGGTGGGTGAGATTGGCTTCTAATCTGACTCCTCAAATCAGATCTATAAAATTAAAATAAGCCTCACCTTCCTCAGTTCCTACCCATCATATAGGATACAAGAGGACTCCCAAGGCTGTGAATCTTCATGTACCAGCTATTATTTATTTTCCTCCACCCACCATGTTAATTACCAGTTCAAGAGTTTGGTGGTGATACTGTGCCGGATACAGTGCGAGCAGGAGGACCCAGTCACACAAGCACTTGTATGTTGTTCTTTTTTCCCTTGGAAGTTGGAAAGGTGCTTTGGGAATGGTGATAATAAAAAGGTGCTTTGGGAATGGTGAAACTACTTTGAATTTGGTTGTAAAAGGGCTTTTCATTTACTATATACTTTCTGTATCAAATTCAAGATTAAGAAAAACCACAAAAAGTTTCCAAAAAAACTGAAGAAGAATCAACAAAACATTTAAAAAAAATGTTTTTTGAACAAGAGTTTATTAAGTGGCTTGATAGAAGCTAAAAAAATGGAAGTGAATACCTTGATGAGCAATTTGCCCTTTCCTGTTTGCCTGCCTCTCTCTAGTATAGGTTTTTCCTGAAGTATACACCCTGGATGAGTCACGAGGCCTGAGTCAGTCTCAGGTTCTGCTTCTAGAGAAGCCAATTAGAGAGAAAGAGAATGTGGGATTCCATCATATGGGTACTGATCACACCAAACAATTTCTTTTTTTTTTTTTAAATAATAAATTTTATTTTTATATTCCCCATACAATTGCAACCCCCCCATTCTGACCCCAATCCCTCCCCTCCCGCCCCCCACCCCCCAAAAAGTGTCTCTGGTTCATAGTTTTTTGTTGATTTTGATTTTCACTTTCTTATAGTTATTCATTTTCCTGGTCCCTTATTTAAGTTTTCTAGATTCCTGCTATGAGTGAGACCATCTGGTATTTTTCTTTTTCTTTCTGGCTTATTTCGCTGAGCATGATCCCTTCCAGCGCCATCCATGTTGCTGCTAATTGCATGTGTAGTGTGGAGATTTCTGGACCTACTAAACATAGAGCTTCCATATGATGCAGCAATTCCACTCCTAGGTATTTACCCAAAGGACACAGAAACATCAATTCCAAAGAACACCTGCACCCCTATGTTTATAGCAGCACTGTTTACAATAGCTAAGCTTTGGAAACAGCCCAAATGCCCAAAAATAGATGACTGGATCAAGAAGCTGTGGTACATATATACCATGGAATATTACTCAGCATTCAAAAAGATAAACACACCAAAAAATTTCTAATCGCAATGACTCGTCAAGATAGCTGTTTTATTCCCACTATACTAATTAGTACATTTGCTGAACTAATTAAATGGGTCACTAAGCCATATTTAGTAGAGGCAGATCCTCAAAAGAAAGAAGACTTAACTGATTAAATAATTTCCCCAAAGGGGAAAAAAAGGAACTTCTGAAGGCTGCCTTTAATAGGGAGGTACAAGGCTATCCTGCTCCAGGATGATCTAGTCTGTTCACAAAATTCCCTCTTCAAAGGAAAGGCATGCAGGAAGGGGCACACTTGTGTCTTTTTCAATCCTCATCTTCATCTTTAAAATTAATCTTGCTCAATTCTGACGTCTGGCATGTGGGACATGCTAAATAAATATTTTTCGAATTAATAAATGTTTTAGGACTCCAGGATATAAATAGGAATATAATTTCTCTAGACTTTGAGTCTTCATTACTTGTAATTTCCCTGAGGCTAGAACTCATATCACCTATGTGTTGTTAATAATTCTCTCCCTCCCCTTCCAATTGGGTGGGTCAGAATCAACTATAGATTCAGAAGTATACAAGCCTGAATTTCAGAGACTCAGCTCTGAAGAGCTTGAACTTTCTGAATGAGTCTATTAGTGTGTTTCTGACTAATAAGAATGGCAAATATGCACAGAATGGGAAATTATGTCAAACTTGACCAGATAGAAAACTTAATTGAACTCATAACAGACTTTTCAAAGTTCAGACAATGGTGTGACTGACCCAGATGAAAGCTTGCACTTAACAGTGTTGATAACTAAATCTGAGCTTTTCCCTATAGAGTTATCCAAATTGATCCTACTGTTTGAACTTCATAACCCTAAGTGACCTCTTGAAGGAGTGACTCTAAATCAGATGTGGTGTCCTAGAATAGTATGATCTAGAAAGTTAACATGAATTATAGTAGCTGGAAGAAACAGAACATCACCAATGGCACAGAGGAGTCTTCAGAGATGACCCACCCCAGTCCACACTCACAGCAGGCTATAAGATCATTATGTTTTCCGCTGAGGAGTTGCAAGCTCATAAAAGTACTGGAACATTGAAAACATTTGCTTCTTACAACTTCAGAAAATTCCTCTTGGTACTCCATTCATAAGGTAGTCCCCTTGTCTTCAGTTCCATCAATATCTCAAATTTTCAGAGACCTTCAGCGCATGCTAGTTTAGCCTTTAATCACAGACATGTGTATTTTTCTCCTTTGACATTATTTCCTCACAGATGTCACCATGGATCAGGATCAGAGGTGGGAGTAATTATACTGTCACAAAGATATCACTTTTTCCTCCAATGCTAAAAGGCAATACAGGAACAAGCCATGACATTGGTCTAAAAGTCATGAGATACAACCAGAGGTTTTCAAATCTCGCAGAAGAAAATGAAGTGGAGGAAATGAAATGGCACCACAGAAGGTGAATGCATGTGGAGTATATTCCAGAATAGAGCAAAAAAAAACCTCATTTATGTCTGTCAGAACAGATGAATGACTTGAAGTTTAGGGCCAGTGTGATCACTGTCATTTGCTTTCTCTACAATCCTTGAGCCTATGCTTTTTCAAAAACAATTGGGAAGAATACAAATGGTTGACGTTCAAGGAATAATGCAGGAAATAATGGATAACTATTTAATAAGTTCCAATTTCTCTGGTAAACCTATATGCTAATATCACTTGCATCAGAATTTTAAAACAACAAAGCAAATAGACAAAAATCTACTTAATCATAAGGGACTCTTTATCTGAAATCACCTCCACCAATGATCAAAACAAGGAAAAAAAGAAACTGGAAAGAAAGGAGCTTGGGGAGTGGGGTTTGGATCTAAGAACACTCAGCAAGTTTCTTGCTGTTTTTAGACTCTTTTGTCAGCAGGTGCACTGCTCTGACACCCCCACCCCCTCACCCCCCACAACACACACCTGACAAACTGCCTCATCATTTGCATGCCCTGGATCCACTCCCACCCAGCAGGCAAGGGAGTCAGTTGAGTCGCTAATGCTCAACATGAAATGGAAAGCAGAAGAAGAAAAGCTAGAGGTCATGGCTGTGAGGCACCCCAGCCCTGTAGGACCTCCCGGGTGAAGTTACAATGGTAACTTGGTATGAATTTCTATATTTGTTTAATGTTTGATTTATCATAGAAAATTTGCATGCTTAGAGATAAAGAAAGGAACTGGGAATGTTGGAACAAGCACAGATATTGATTATGGGTTTGGGATGGGCTCCTTCTCGACTCCCCATCTCCACTGCTCTTCACCACATGTGCTTTCCTGCATTGTTTCTCAAACTGAGTCCCAGGGGTTTCTCAGATATGCTTCCAAAAGCCTTAAGAGGGTTAAGGACAGACCCCCGACCCCTCCTCCTTTACTCCCCACTCTTCAACTTGAACAGCTTTTATTGGTTTGATATGTTAACCTTCTGTTTCAGATTGTAATTTAAAGGGTTTCACTGCACACATCTGTTTCAGTTTTGAAAACCATCTAGGCTTCAGGAGTCACAGTTTAATCTAAGTAACTGCTAACCCTCTGCAACTCTCCCAAACAAGAGCACTGTTTTATATACTAGAACATTTTCTCTTTTGAACTAGAGAAAATGTACTTTCTTCCTTGCAGGTAAGTGTGATAGTGAAAAGATAAAAGTTGATGTTACTCAGAAATGAACACTACATATTAAGTGTTATAATCACACATCAATAGACTCCATTTAGATTGTGGTTTTAGGGTGTTAGGATATTCAAACACTCATCGCTTAGTTGACTCATTTACCTCTTTGATTAGATTAGTTTTTATATTGTTTTTGCATAAGGAAGAGGAGAAAAAGATTATGCACTCTTTAGTTCATGTATTCACTTATAAATTTTTGTAAAGGATCGCTCTGATTACTGTGTGGAGAATAGATTAGGCAGGGGAAACTAGCAAAGGGGTGACCATGTAGGCAATTGGTGCCATAATCAAGACAAATAAAAATCCACCATGAAAAGAAAATTTATTTTCACAAGTTATAAAATGAAACAAGCCACATGTAGAAACCTAGTGGACCTACTTACTTTACCACACTGAAGAAGATGGGGAAGAATGTAGCTGTGGCCCCTAGAAGACAGTGTTGGTTCAAATTTCTGCTTTAGCTGTTGTAGGACCTTGGACAAGTTAACTTATTTCTTGCATCTCTGTTTTCTAACTTTTAACAGGAAACTAAAATCAATACCCACCTCATAGGATTGTCTGGCTAAAGGAGTATATATATGTGAAGTGTTTAAATTTTCCTGCCAGGCAGAAAATGCCAGTTGTTTTTTGGCCTGACACATCAAGAATCTAGATGGGGTAATGTGAATTGTGGCCCCTAGAGGGCAGCAGAGGAGCAAGAACAGAAGTAAAAGATTCCCAAGGCCTGATTCACTCTTCACATTCCTTACCAAAGATGTATTGTCTGATAAGAAAAAAATAAATTAATAAATAAATAATAATAATAATAAAAACAAACAGGGGGCGGGCCTCCCTGGTGGTGCAAGGGTTTAAGTCTCAGCACTATGAAGCTATCCACACCACTGCCGCAAGATGCCCGGCCAGGGAGCTGTACCCTGACTGCTCTCAAAAAGGGGCACCCGTGGCCTTCCCTGGTGAAGCTGGTGGACTTTTGTCACCACTTTTCTATTGGAACATGTGAAAATGACACGTGGCACCTGCATGGCACTGTAAACCTCTCCTGTCTCACCCACTGCTCCCTACAGCAGTGTATTTCAGTAGATTTGCCTCTTCTGCTCCCCACTCTGTCTCTGGTGACTCCTCTCCCCCCGCCCCCTCCACACCCCTGGACTGTACCCCAGCTCTTGTATGCATAAATAAAATAAAATACCAGGGGGAAGGTTTCTGTGAATCATGTAAAAAATGAAGCTGATCTTAGGCTCACTTCTAGCCTGCTGTTTTGTTCTTGCAATAGTTCAAGACACCAGTGTAGACAAAATCAAGGTCTGGAGCAAGTCTTGTAATGAGAAAGATCCAGGCATCATCTGGGAAATCACTTCCCAGATTGTTCATCACATGGCTTGCAAGTGGCTGCTGGCTGCTAGCTGGAAGCTCAGCTGAGGGTGAGGGTAGGGCCATCGGTTCCTGGTGACCTGGGCTTCCCCACACATGATAGTAGGTTGCCAGGCAAGCATCCTAGAGAGGACAGGCAGAACAGCTATCACTTTGTATGACGTAGCCCTGGAAGCCACACGTGTCATTTTCACATGTTCCAATAGAAAAGTGGTGACAAAAGTCCACCAGCTTCACCAGGGAAGGCCACGGGTGCCCCTCTTTGACAGGAGTCAGGTAGCCAAGCTCTGGGAAAGCATCTAGAATGGAAAATACTCATCTATTTTTGTAAAAGACAATCAGCCACAAAGTAACCTCCTAGAAATTTACATTAGGTGTTATCAGTCCTCTCTTCCCTACACAAAGCATTGGCAAGTCTTAACACTTCTGAGGGGAAAATCCATTCCAAATGGAATCTGATCTCATCTCCACTGCTCCTGCCTGAATTCAAGCCCATGTGAATTTGCCTGGATCAGAGCCAAGCTTCTTAAGAGGCTTCCTTACTTCAGGGCAGCTTTGAATAATCTCATACTTATTCTGCTACCAGTGAAAAATTTTTTCAATGTAAATCTGCTCATGTCACCGCTCATCTTAAAATCTCTCAGTGGCTTCTTGTAATCCTTAGGATGAAAGTTCGCCTCTAAAGGCGACTGGCAAGATTGCTCCATATTTTGTCCCATTTTTCCTTCTCATTTCATCTTCAACCATCCCTCCACCACATGCACACCGGCCTTCTTTTTTCCAAGTTTAAATTCTTCTTTCATGAAATTCCACACAGAAGTCCCTAAAGAACTGAATAGTGGTGGGCTGCTTTGATTGAGATGGGGCTTAGGGTTCTATATGGTCACGGGGTGACATTTTGCCCCTGTGTCCACGCTGAAGTCATTCTCTAGGCCTAGGTACTGCTGACCTCCTGAAGACTCACAGTCTGTGGAACCCAGGGAACCAGGAAGAACGTCCTGAGAGGACACCTGGCTGGTACCAGGTAGGCACATTTCTTTCCGAGCACATTACCTGAGGGTTCTCAAAGCTGGTGGGAAACCTACCAGGTCTTTCTTAGAAAGTGGTAGTGTACTTTTATTTTTTTAAAGATTTATTTATTTAGAAGAACTGGGAGGTATAGGCCAGAGGTGCAGGGGGGCATACACAAGAGACAGAGTGGGGAGCCGAACAGGCAGATCTACTGAGATACACTGCTGAGGGGAGCAGCGGGCGAGACAGGAGAGGTCTGAGGTGCCATGTAGGTCAGCTCCCTGGCTGGAGATCAAACTCAGGCCACAGTGGTGACAGTGCTATGCCACCAGGGAGACCCCATTAGTGTATTTTTAAACACAGTCTAGTGAAGCCTTGAGAAATGTTGATTGCATACCTGTTGATGTTCCAGGACATCCAGGGCAACAAGGTGACCTGGAAATGAGTCCTCACCTGTGTGCCTAAGATTTAGAGCCAAATTCAAAGCAAACACATGGAGAAATAAAGGGAAAAGAAAAAAGGTTCATTTACAATGGATTTACAAAGGCAGCTAGAGTGAAAGAGAGAGAGAGAAATTAATTGGCCAACACTTGGTCAAAAACCATCCCCCCTGCTAGCATGTGGCAGCAGGATGCCAGTCGCGTGTGAAGAAGCAAGAAGAAAAAAAGGGACCCCAGGCACTCAGTTATATACCAAGCATGCTGCTTGACCCCGGATTTCCCTGGCTCAGGAAATCCGGTTTAAGCATTCTGGGACTTGTGGCTTAAGGCAGCTGTAGAGAAGTGGGCGGGAGAACGGTACCTCCCCTTTCATTTACTCAGCTGCATCTCATCAGTGGCACATTATGCACACTCAAGTTATTTAAGTTGCTTTAAGCCTTAGCAAATTTATTCAGTAATTTCTGCTGTAAACGCAGTCTTGTAGGAAAGGAAATTAAGCGAGCACAACTGCTTCTCTGCCTGGATCTCCAGAGTTGCCCATTCCTGTCCCCACAACGCACAGGATAGACCTCTAGAAACACTTCCCAAGAGCCCCAGGCATCTCTTGGTACAGTGTTCTAATCTGTCTGTGCTACCCAGTGGGTGTCGTTCTATAACTTAGCTGCCTTTGTTAACCAAATCCTTGTGGATATTAGAGTAGAAAGGATGTGAGTGTGGGATCAATTTGAGGTTCCAATTCTTACCAGTGATGAGATTTTCAGAGAGTGGAAGAATTAGTGTGCTAAATGTCATAATACAGCAGCCAGGCAGTCCTATGATTCCTTCTGAGTTAATGATCATGGACTTAAAGTAAACCCAGGCAGCATGGCTGGCTGTTTGTTCTAGCAGTTTTCAGCTAAGGTGGTGAAGAGGCAAAGTACAGGGGTGGGGTTCTACCAGGATTTTGGTTTTCTCAGACAAATATGTCAAGGGGGAGAGAGAGAGAAGTGACTTGGGTGTAGATTCTAGAGATTTTAGTGATGGCTCATCACTAAAATCATCACAATGCCACTGGGCCCACTGTCCGCCTAGAAGGATTTTACTATGCACATTCCCTTTCTCCTTATAAACATGCACACATGTATTATATTTGCAAAGGAAAGAACCTGGAAGAATATATGCCAAATGTGAAGTGTTTACTTCCTGGTGGTGGGATTTCAGATCACTTTAAATATGTGGCTTTCGAAATTTCTGTCTCTTCTCACTTTTGCTTTCCTTTGGTTTATTTTTTGGATGACAATCTACTTATATTAGAGAGACATAAGAAAATGTATTTGACAAGAATATTTTTCTTGATGACAAAACTCTAACAATATTTTATTTTAAAATATCTACAGAACCATTTTAATATTTTTTTATGAGAAACTTTTCAACTACAGTAAATCTTCAAAGTTCAAGTATCTACTATTGAATTTCAGAGGAAGATTTTTTAAAAGTTTATGATGAAGTATCAGGAAAATATTAATGAATTATTGCCCCCAACTCTTTATAAAATATTATTTAATGCACTAGCTATTACATTTTATTAGTATGTCAGTTAAATGGGACTTTTAATGATACTCCATACCTTACAAAGTGAAAAATTTGGCTTCCTTGGTGGTGCAAGGGGTTAAGCACAGCACTGTGAAGCTATCCGCAGCCTCTGCAGTATGAGTTCCATCCCTGGCCAGCCAGGGAGCTACCCACATGGCGTAGCAGACCTTTCCTGTCTCGCCTGCTGCTCCCCTCAGCAGTGTATTTCAGTCAATCTGCCTGTTCTGCTCCCCACTCTGTCTCTGGTGAATCCTCTCATCCCCCGCACTTCTAGCTTACACCCCAGTTCTTTTTTCTTTAAGATTTATTTATTCATTTATTTATACAAGAACTGGTGTACAGGCCAAGTGTGTGGGAGGGTGAGAGGCTTCACCAGAGACAGAGCGGGGAACAGAACAGGCAGACTGACAAAATACACTGCTGAGGGGAGCAGCGGGCGAGACAGGAGAGGTCTGCCGGGCCATGTGGGACCCTCGCCAACTGGCCGGGGTCGAACCAGTGCTGCAGAGGCTGCGGACAGCTTCACAGCGCAGCGTTCAACTGCCTGCGCCACCAAGGGAGGCCCTCACCCCAGTTCTTGTATGCATAAATAAGTAAAACTTTTTTAAAAAGTGAAAATTATCATCTTTAAGCCATGTCGATACTAACACATCTTCCTGTCTTTCAAAGAACCAATTAAAACATAAGTTATCTAGTTAGCTTTCACTGAATTATACCCCAACTCCCAAAATATTCTCTTTCTCACTCTCCATCCCCCCTTCTGTGTGTGTGCATGTGTGTGTATTTGCCATTACAGAACTATAGCAAACTGCTCCCAAACAACCAGATATCAGGGCTAGGTTTAACCCCTGAAGTAATCTTGCAAAATTAACAACCCCAATCTGCTGAAGTAATCTGATAGTGCAGAAGGTCCCAACACACAGCTTTAAAAGCAGATCCTAGAGGCAAATGTCCAAACAAAAACATTAGAAGAGCTAAATAAATAATGTGAATGAAAGTATGTTTTTATGGAGTCCAAACAAAGAGAAAGAAAAGTCAAAGAGCATGAACTCACATGTGAAAGCCTCTGGTTTTGCTTGGGGCCTTGGCGTCGCTGCATTTTTTTTTTTAAGATTTATTTATTTATGCATACAAGAGCTGGGGTTCAGGCCAGAGGTGTTGGGGGGGTGAGAGGATTCACCAGAGACAGAGTAAGGAGCAGAACAGGCAGAATGACTGCAATACACTGCTGAGGGGAGCAGCGGGCAAGACAGGAGAGGTCTGCTGCACCATGTGGGTTGCTAGCCGGCTGGGGAATTGAACTCGTGCTGCAGAGGCTGCGGACAGCTTCACAGGTTGTGTCTTAACCCCTGCGCCATTAAGAAGGCCCCCTGTTTTTCTTTAAGATTTATTTATTTATGCATTCAAGAGTTGGGGTGTAGGCCACAGATACTGTGGGTGAGAGGATTCAGCAGAGACAGAATGGGGAGTAGAACAGGTGGATCCAGTGAAATCCACTGCTGAGGGGAGCAGCGGGCAAGATAGGTGAGGTCTGCTTTGCCATGTGGGTCAGCTTCCTGGTCAGGGATCAAATTCGTGCAGCAGTGGCCACAGACAGCTTCACAATGCTGTGTCTTAACCTTGGGTGTAGATTCTAACCCCTAGCATCACCAGGGAGGCCCCTTGGCGTCTCTGTTTTCTTTCCTACCAGGGAGTTAATGTGATGACTGGGTGAGAAATCTGACCCACTTATTCATAAAAATTAACTGTGTCTGGCTTTTCCATCCATTTCTGGTAAGCTGACTTTGCCTACATCTGAAAAAATTTCCAGTTTCTTCACTTGCAGAATTAAGCAAATGAAACAATTGACCTCTCTGGGAGAGTGTCACCTCAGAACCACCACATGAACCCCACTGGTCAGAAGAAAGGATGACCACCCCCCCTTCTCTGCACAATTTATCCTCACCAGGTCTGACACCCATGATCCCATTCAGGGAGCGACTGGCAGTAAGCAAGTGCCATCCAAGGAAGTTCCTCATTCCTGGGGAAAGAGGATAAGCAGGGGCAAGTGAAAATACTAGGATTTTTCCAGCCAAGATGACTGCTCTGTTGAGTCACTCATGTTTAGAGGATTTTGGAAAGTCCAGAAGTCCTTTGACCCACCCACAGAGAAAAACTCCTGTCAACTATAATATTTGGAATACTGCTATCTTACTATTCATCAACACTTTTATGATAGTTTTCAAGTTACAATTGCTGCTGTATATTAACTTACATAATTATATTTTATGCTGATATGTAGTAATATACAAAGCAAATAATAATAAAAGCCAGCTTTTATTACTTAACTGCATTACCAGGCACCATCCTAAGTGATTTGTCCCATGGAGAGAAGCTGCAGAGAAGCCCCTTGGGAAAGCAGACCAGTCATTTAAGCAAGTAGTAAATCCCACCATGCCCTTAACCTCTTAGCCTCAGTTGCTATGCATACAGCAATAAGATGCACATGAAAGATATGGCAGAAGAGATTTGCATAGCTGCATTCAGGGTGCCCTGAGCTCCTCTCCTCAGCAATATTTGGGGACAAACCTCCTACCATAGCAATGTACCCTCTTTCTGCTATTTCAAGGGTGGGTGGACTTCTTGACCAGCATGTGGGAGGAGTGTGGACATAACTGAATTTTTCTTTGTAATCTTTACACGAATCTACCCAGGAAGGAAGGAAGGAAGGAAGGATTTCTCATGCCTGGAATGAATAGAATGCTTAACTAACTGCAGGGGTCATTTTATAATTATTATAATCTCTCCCTCCCTTTGCTTCCTTCCATCCCTCCTCGCTCCCTCCCTCTCCTTCCTGCTCTCCCTGCATTCCTTGTTTCTTTCTTTTTGCTTGCTATCAAATTTGGCCTTTACTTAAATCTTCCCTAGACTACTATTGATTGATTGATTGATTGATTGAAGTAACATTGTATAGTTTCTTACATAGGTCCTGAGATGTCTATATGCCTTTATCCTGCTGCTGCACAGCCCTCTGGGACATAGCACCATCACGTTCTATATAAATGTCTGCCCTGACAGTGGTAGAGTACATGACCTATGCAGTCATGTAGGGTGACATGTCCCCACCTACACTTAAAGAAGTGATATGTGTAATAACTCTTACCTCCACCCTCAGCAGCCTTTCTTACTCTGATCAGTTGGAGGCTAATATTCACTTGTGTATATTTTACTGTAGAGGTTGGGTGCCTCTCCATATGCTGGCAGACCTTTATGCCCAGGGGCAGTAAGTTCCTCTTCAGGATTCTGCACATCTTGTCAGGACCTTGTCTGACCACGAGTAGAAGTTGGAAGAAGCCACCATCATTTTCCTTCTTATAATTGGATGGGCAAGTCAGGAAGTTCACAGGCCTGTTTTCTTCAACTAATATTTTAAAAATTATATATTAAACACTGGTTTTAATGGTCTCCCATTTTTGCTAGAAGCTATCCATCATAAGGCTTTTGCTAACATTATGAAACAAATACTTTGGTTTTCATCCAACTATGATCTTTTTGTGCATGTTCCTTTCTCTAGGACCCTGAAGAATGGGGGGAAATAGCTAACAATACAATTGTATTATAAATACAAAGAACAAAGTTTAGAGTCTTATTCTTTATTAATTATTGTGTTGTATGACCATATCTCATAATAGAACACTGAAAGTAAAAAAAAAAAGAAATATTTCCAAAATAGTTGTTATTTTCTTTCCCTAAAAATTGAATTTAGGAGGGAAAAGAGTGGCTAAAGATCTGGGTTAGGTGGGAGGTTTCATTGTATTAAGTCATGAATACAGTAAACAGGGTCTTGTTTTCCTGATAAAACAGGAAATGGTCTGTAAACTGTCCTGAGTATCAAGTTCTGCTTTGGGGATGTGACTGCTGCAGCCTGAAGTCAGGAAATGAAGAGAAGACTTCCTCGGGAAGTCTCTTGGGGTCTTTCAGTAAACAGGGAGGAACTGAGTGAGAAAAAAAATCTCCAAGGGAGGCAGGGGCTGGCCACAAGCCCACTAGACAGAGGAGTTCAAAGGTAAGCCATTCACAGAAAAAAGAAGTTCAACCACAGGGCGGATGTGCTGCTTTTCACACCCCAGTCATTTATTTGAAAAGCAAAAGCAGTACAGTTTTGAAGTCTTCCCTTGTTAGGATTCCTCCAGAAGAAAAGAGAAGATAGTGGTAACCTTCCCTTTCCAGTGTCTTTCTCGCTCATTTGTGTCTCCTGGGCAGATTCCCTAAACTTTATATCCTTATTTTTCAACAGACAATTATAAAATTAAGACACTCAATTTTAGCCTTTAAGGATATTCATCTAATTACTGTGTTCATTGTCATCTCTATTGTGAAGACAGAAAGGATCCCTGGGAAGCGAGTGCGGCCTCCTGGTGGACAAGGACAGAGTACTTGTTGACTAAACATACGCTGTCTCTCCTTCTGATGGTCTACTTAAAAAATGAGTAATAGGAAATTCTAAAAAAGAATTTTAGGATGTGCTTCAGAAAAGCAAAGTCATATAATCCAGTAAGATCCAAAAAAGCCAATGAAGTGAGAAAAATAAAAGGCAGAAATACCCAAATATTACTTGATATGTTGGTGCCAACAAGTTCTCACTGTGTCTCCTTACTCATTAACTAAGAAGTAATATAAATTATCTTTAAGGTCATTTCATACATTCATCTTTTTTAAGAAGGGAAGAAGTTTGCTTATCTATTCAGTTTAAATACAGCTTAAAACCTACTCAGAATGCTTCTGTTAAAGATAGACTTAAATGAGAGGACACTGGAAAAAAGTTGTCTGGATGTACTTTGGGGCTATAAGCTAACCGGAGAGTTTTAGCTCCATTCAACTCCTGCTACAACCACAGGATGGAAATGGAAATTCTATACATTCAGTTACATGATCTGCGTACTGAAGCAGTATGCAAATACTGGAACAGAGCCCCGAGCTTGCATTTCCCACGCTCTTCTCTGAACTCCTCTCACTTATGGTCAATACCACACAGCTTACTGCTTAGTCACACAGTCCTCCATTGTCGGGGCCCCCAAGCAGCTTGGAAGCTCCAGATGCAACAGACACTATTGTTATACTTATCAGGCATTTCTCACAATGCTTTTTACAGTGTGGCTGTGCTTACAGCCCTTCATTTATCCATTCATTCAGTTGATGTTTGTTGGGAGACCATTAAGTACCAGAATCCGTGCTTCATAGATACTGAGAATATGAACTATACAAGGTGTCCACTCTTGTGGAGCTTAAATTTGAATGAGATGAGACAGTAAACAAATAAACAAAAAAATACCAAACACAAATGTGATAGAGAGAATTAAAATGGGGTAATAAAATAGAAACTGAGTAACTGCATTGAATTGGGTAGAAAGACACCTCTTTGGAAAGTGACTTTAGACAGATACCCAAATGACCAAGGACCAACTGGACTGGGTTGGCACCTACAAAGGAAAGCACTGAAGCCCTCTGTGGGCAGAGCACAGTGAGAGAGGAGGGGTGTGATATAAAATGCAGTAGGAAAACAGTAGGAAGAGAGCTCTTAGGTTTTTGGAACCTACAGCTTGGCATGTGGTTGTTATTCTACATGCAGTTCAGGGCTTCACCCAGGAAAATTACATGATCTGATTCAAATTTTTATAAGATTGTGTGTAATAGAGAGACAAAAGTAAAACGGGACAATAATTGGCTTGTAATAGTCCATGAAAAAAGATCATGTTATGTGGATGAGGACAGAATTAACTGAGATGGAAGTCTAGTTTGAAGAGATATTTTGGGTTATCATCAGGAAAAAATGCTAATGAATTGGGGAGAGGGTGAACAGTGTAAAGAAGGAAATTGAGGGCTATTCAGATTATTGAGCCTTAAAATTTAAATTTTTTAAACTTCCCATCAGTTTGTTGGAAAAAAATGTATAAATTATATTCATTTATCTAAAGTTAACATAATAACACAGAGTAGCAATATAAATATTTTCTTATCATGCTGAAGACAGATAAAAGAGATTAATTTCAAGACCAATTCAAAATCTACATCCTCAGCAGTTTAGCCTCTATAAATTCCAATGCCTGGTAAAGGACTTCCAATTTCATCCCAAGTAAGTTGGGGTCTGCAGTGTTATTTTTGAGACATTTGAGAAAAACTTCCTTACTTCCTCAAATGCATCCTGTAGATATTTACTTCAGACTGTTCTACTGGTAATAAACTCATGGCTTTTCTTGAAAATGTCTTTATCTCACTTTTTGTTCCAAAAATATAGCTTTGCTTTCTTTCTTGAGCACTTTAAAGATATTGCTTTATTTCTTCTGGCTTCCTTTGCTGCTCTTGAAAAATCATCTGTACATCTTATTATTGATCATTTGTAGGCAATTTGTCTTTTTTCTCTATCTGTAAGATGTGTACTCTAAATATTGTAATGTTCAAAATGTAGACCACTTCTCATGTCAGCCTTTCTCTTACATATCTCAGTCAGTCTCATGGCTATAAATACCACTTATTCCCAAAATTATACCTGCAACCCAGAGCTCTCTCCCTAATTCTAAACTGGCATGTTCAACAGTCTACTAAACAGATCCTCTTAAAGTATATCAAACATAACATGCCCAGACCTGGTCATAAGATTTTCAGTCCTTTCCCCAAACATATTTTTTCATCAATCTTCCACAACTCAGTAAATAGCAACACTGTTTTTTCATTATCTTAGGACCAAAAAAATAGTCATTTTCCATTGATAGACACATTCATGTCTTCAGAAAATTCCATCAAGTCTACATTCAAAATTTATATAAAATCCAGTTACTCCTCACTCTTGTTTCAAGTTAACATCATATTTTTCTTGAGTTGTTACACTAGCTCCCTAGTCATTCTCCCTGCTTTCATATTTGGTCTCCCTCACATCAGCTCTATCCTCACAGATATCCTCATATCTGTGAATCAGATATGACCACTCATCTACTTAAAAGTCTGCAATGTCTATGAGTAAATTTCAAAGTCATTTCAATGACCTGCAAGCCTCTTACATGATCTGACCCCCTGTACCTATCAGATTTCATCTCTTTTTCTATTTCCCTTAGATGTCTTTGCTATTTATCCAGCACACAGAGCATATTTATATCTCAGGACCTTTGCACATGCTGTTGGAGGGCATTCTTCTCATCTTTTCCAGGCCTTTGTTCAATTTTCAAGTTCTCAGGAGACTTCCCTGACACATATTTCAAATTACAACGACTCCTCCTCCAATGTGTTATCATGTGTTCTTTCCAATACTTAGTGCCATCAGACTTCTTAATTTTAGCCAAATGATATCTCGCAATGGTTCTAAACTAATGGTTTAGACAGAGTGACTTAGTTCTTTGAGTTTCTTCTCTCAAGGACAAGGACAATACAGATATTGACAGCATAGGATATTGTAAAGAATAAATTAGAACCAGTTGTCTTTTCAGATTAGTGATAAAATTAAGCACTCATTTTTTACATAGGTTTGTACACCACAAATAATTATTCTATAAAAATACCTGCTCTTTTTTTTTCTTGTGCTCTTTTGCTGAGTCGTTATTTCCTTATCAATTTTAGTAATTTGCATATTTGAGATACTAAGGTTTTCTTGGTAACTACAATTAGCCATTTTTCTCACCTACAGTTTATTGTTTCTTTCTTGTGGGCTCTTTAGTGAGTAAAAGTTCTTAATCATAATGTAGTCAAATTTATCATCCTCTTTTTTAACATGAATGTTTTTATTTTTAAATTTTAAATTAAGAAATTTTTTTAGGGCCTCCCCTGGTGGTGCAGCTGTTGAGCGCTGGGCTGCGAAGCTGCCCACAGCCTCTGCAGTGCTGGTTCGATCCCTGGCCACCGGCAAGGGTCCCACATTGGGCACAGACCTCTTCTGCCGTGCCTTCTGCTCCCCTCAGCAGTGCATTTCATTAGTATGCCTGTTCTGTTCCCCACTCTGGCTCTGGTGAATTCTCTCACCCTCCCGTGCTTCTGACTGTACCCAGTGCTTGTATAAATATATAAATAAATCTTTTTTAAAAAAGAAATTCTTTTATATCAAGATAATAAGAGATTCCCATATTTTCATCTAAAAGTTTAAAGCATGTTCATATTCACACCCTAATTCATCTGGAAAAGAATTGTATCTATAATGTGACCTACAAATCCAATTTCCTACTTAAGCAATTGTTCCAGCACTATTTTTTAAGCAGTCTTTCTGCTTCCCATTGATCTAAAATGCCA